ATAATTCTATATATAATTGTATAGAATTATTCTTGTATAGAAAATAATGATTTGATTTGGTCAAAATAATGGTGAGAAAGTTCAAAGGTGTTCTGATCCCATTGCATTTTATGATCTCAGATTAACTTTTCTGTGAGCAAGTCCAGGACATTTGGTATGCTGGGACTGCATGTTTCTTAAGACAATTTGGCATAGTCAAGAAAACAGTACTGGTCCTTGAACTTAAAAACAATATATGTTTTGTTAAATAAAATATGTTTGGCAGTACATTGCTGAAATGGTGATAAAATAAAGACGAGTAGCTGTAGTTAGATAACAAGGTTGAATGTTAACGTTCCACCTCAGTATGGCCTTTCACAGAGTTCACAATTCAAAACTTCGTTTTTAGAAGAGCATAAACAAAACTGCTTTTAACTTGAGGTAACATTTTCCTTGTTATGTAGTACTTGAAATGTTTTTTCTTAGATAAATCTAAATGTAACTTAAACACATCACACTTGGCTGGATCTACTTTTAGAAAGAGAACAATAAGCTCCTGTTTGGAGAAAATTAACTTGGAAATGAATGCTGGTGGTTGCGTTTTGGTGGACTGATTGGTGTTAGGAGTGAGTTCAGGCTTTTGAGATGTTCTGCCTGCTGTCTTCAGACTCGTGAAGCATGGTGGAAAAGTACATAGAAGGGTATTTGTTTTCTTACCATCACTCAGTCCTTAAGGTGTGAAGAGCTTTAGAGCATCCCTCTTCTCTTAAAGCAGCTTTGTTCTCATAGTAGTTATTTCCAACAGGAGTCTATTCCCTTATCAACAGATTATGAAGCATACATCAATAAGCACAAACTTGGGATGAGGACTAGAAGGATCTTGGAGAAGAGTCCAAGAAGCAGGAGTAGAGACTGGATGGTGATGTTTGGGGGGTGTCTTTTTGTTTTTGAAGTTGCCTTGAATAAGATATTAGCTGTTTAGTTACTCCACTAAAAAATGCTCAAAGGCTAGAACATGATAGGGATACAGAAAAGAAATTTACTCATTGAAGTCTATTTCAAGGAGTCTATGGAGTTTATAGAAGTTGTAGTTGTCCCTGAAATCTTTTTTTGTAGATGGTACAGTTTTGTACATACAAAACCTTATTCAGAAAGTTACGTTTTTACTGGTAATATAAAATAAAGAAAAAACAGATAAACAGTGCACTTAAGATGATATGCTTAAACTTTATCATAACGAAGTTAAATAAAAAAAAAATTGTGTTAAAATAATGAAGAATAGTGTTGTCAAGCTTTTGTCTTTTTAATGTTGCCTTAGGCCTGATTAAGAGTAATGATTCTTAATCTGGAAGACTTCTGGAAATAAAGTTGTTTGTTGTTTTCTAATGGGGTCCTTTTGATCTATCACAGCTAGATATGAATTACCAATGGAGAAAAACGTATGTAGTCAAGCTTTTGTCCTGTCTATTAAATAGTTTTGCTAGTGACTTAAGAACAGAGCTAAGGGCTTTTTGAAAGAGAAAGCAAAAGTTCTTAAATAGAAGGCATAGGTTTCTTTGGGGTGGTGTGTGGTTTGTTTGTTTGGTTTTTTTTCTCTCCCTTATATATGCACAGAAAACAGTGGCCATCCGCTACTACTAGCCTTCTCTGTAGATCTTCATGTGGCTGAGAGCCGCAGTAGATGTGCCATATCCCTTGTAGAGGTGATGGGTAGGAGAGAAGAACTAGAGCAGAGGGAGCTGCGCTTGAACTGTTTGAGAGCTGCAGGCTGGCCATCCACGTAGTAATAGTGTGCAAGAAGCACCACAGTATGCAGGAAAGGCAGTGGGACTTATCTTTTCATCTAGAAGAGAAGAGAGGAGGATGATAGCTCTGCTTCTCTTAGTTTGATGCAGAGTTGGGAGATTCCTTTGTCCCCTTCCATTATGAGGGTGCAGTTTTGTGCTATGCTGGTAGTTGGCATCTGCACTGTGCTAGAAACATCCAACTTTATGGAGGGAGTGGTTAAGCATTGTAACAGGATGCCCAGGGAGGTGGTGGAGTTGCCATAACTGGAAGTGTTCAAAAAACGTGTGGACGTGGCACTTCAGGATATGGTTTAGTGGGCATGGTGGTGTTGGGTTGGCGGTTGGACTTGATGATCTTAAAGGTCTTTTCCAACCTTAATGATTCTGTCATTCTGTGAAATAAATGGCATGGAGTGAGGCATATTACTGTGTTTTAAATGTATTTTATCTGTTAAATGCTTCAAGATCTGCACATGGTAAATGCACCAAGGCATGGTTTCCCTGGTGAGATAGGCTAGGTCAGCCGGTAGGCCCTGGAGAGTCTTTATGCTGGAGACTGCACAAGAAGGGGCAGAAGTATTGGAGAGGACAGGAGGATGGGGCCAGCCCTTCTGGTGGCAGCCTGCAGCTGGTTAGGAAACTGCAGTATCTGTAATTTCTCTTAAAGCTTACTTGCCAGGCAAGTTTCTGCTGTCATCATCTAACCCTTAATTGACTTCGGGCTCATAGGTGGCTATCTGACGTGTATCTGCTGACCTTTTATCCAAGGCTGTTTGATAATAGAGCATCATTCTCTGTAAGTTTTGGGTTATTAGTTCAGGCAACACATAGTTCTGCCAGTTCACTTCTGTCCTAACCTTCAGTTCTGTTTTTTGCCTCATCTCCCTTTTCTGTGGAAAATCCTGAGCATTTCTGAAGCAAAGCTTTATTCTGTAAAAGTCCTATTCATGTCAGAATATTTAGTCTCACTTTCATCTAGCACCTGTGGACAGCTGCATCAAGTTGATCACAGCCCAGATTTTCACTCGAGAGAGATTTTCCACACAAAATGCAAGGAAGATCAATTAGAGCAACTGTCCTGAAACCAGGAGCTGTTCAGGAGGCGTTTGTACAGGACAGCACCAGGGTTATGCTTTTCCCCATTTCCAAAGCTCAGTAAACCTGTGCTTATGATATTTGAACCAAAATAGTCCCCTAAAATTACTAATCCTGATGCTCTCTTTTAGGAACCCCATTTCATTTTACTTTGCCGAAGGAGGGTGATGTCATTCAGCCCTTGACCAGCATAACGCCACCTCTTATTGGCCAGCTTAAAATGGGACCCAGAAGACACAGCACACCAATTGGTGAGTTTGTCCCGAATGGCTCTGTTCTGCAGTGAAAGCCTGTTTGGAAGATTTTGATTCTTGATGCAGGATCTGATGGCATAACTCAAACCTATCTTGGCAAAAAACATTGCTGTTTTATGGGGAGGGCTCATGGCTTCTCCACACTTCCCTTGTTACATTCTCTCCTCGGTCTCTAGTGAAAATGTTTGCTCCCTGAGTATGGGGTGATATGGAACATGTCTTCCTTGCACTTATTGCATTCCTGCA